CCTACTGTAAAACGATAAGTACTTGGATACCACGACTACGTTAAATAAAACGATTCAAGGCTTGTCCGTAAAATATATCCTCGCTTCATAGTGGGTCTTCATTTGCGAAACTCATAGTTGTCGTCGAAATTTTGCTTCGCTTATGTCGGCCGCTACAAGGCGATTTTTTCATTTGGGGACTGCCAGGAGCCGGTACAGCGTGAAACGACCGAGGGTCCTTCTAATGAATTTATCGGGTATCGGATCCTACGCCACGAGAAAAATGGCTGCACAGTCTCATTCACAAGGCATCAATCAACTAAAGTGTGTTAGGCTTTTCCGATATTCTGGGTGGTTGTCTAAATATTCGCATCTAAGATAGAGTAGCGAAAAATATGCGAAGTGTGTTGCGTAAATGGACAACACGTAAAAAATATTTCAAACATCAAAACTTCCTGACACACTTTTGTTCGTCATCATCCCAGGAATGTGTTGGCGAAATTTCACGAAAATCGGTCAAATCCACATACCATATAAATTCGCTCAGAGTGTAAGTATTCCTCTCAAAATCAAATGCGAGATTTTAGTTTCTAAAGGTTTGTAAACAACTAGCGCCACACCAGGAGATTATCTCGCTTCCTGAAACCGCAAACCAACGAGAAGACGAGGTGTCAATGACAGTGGGTCAATATTTTCCCGGGAAACGTATCGCGTAACAGTCACGTTTTTTTTATCTCACAAGATATCAAATTCTTAAGGTTATTAATTATGCTACTTTAATTTTCTTTCCTAATCTGTGATATATCATCATTGCTAATTATCTTTATTTTCTGCCCACAGCAAGAAGCATAGATTTGAACAATCTTCCCTTTTGCTCCCCCAGAGGAGACTCGGTACCAAAGAAAATGATGAAACAGCAAGCCAACGATACCTGAAACAGGTTGGTTTTTTGCAGTATTATTGCGTGCGCAGTATTATGGTGTGTGAAAGTTTGGTTGGAAAGCACAACATTTTCTTCCTGTGCAGTAGAGGGTTGCTTTGGGGATCTTTTTTTATTTTTAACTGAGTGCCAGAGTGACCGAAGCATATTTCCCCAGTTGACAGGCAGGCAGAACATACACTGTTATCTACCTTCTTGGATAATATTTCAACTGTTTAATTGAGTCTTGTCTTGACATTGTGTCCTGACAGTGGTGCCCATGTTGTATTCATTTATAACTCTCACTTTGCCCCTCTTTTATTTGAAAATATGTTTTTCTAAATAACTCGGATACTTTTGCATATTTTTAATTTTTTTTTTCTTTTCAGAAACGTGAAGTAAAATGTTTGACTTCAATTTAGTCAAATAAAAGAAAAAATGATTTTTTTGGCATCTGATGGTGGGAAGTAACCTTAAGAAAACTTGACAAGTGCTGAAAGGTTATCTGTAGTGGACAAGATTACTCAGCTGATCATGAAGATCATGCATTCAATCTC